CGGTTTTCTAAAATTCTGGTATGGCATTTGGAATTGTGCTAAGTATAATGACTAAATTTTGCGCACTTCTTATAGTCAGTGATTCAAGTTTACATTGCATATTAATACACAATAGTGCTTTGCTCGATTCGAGAATAGAATAGAGTCAAGGTGGGGGGTGAACCAAGCACTCTAAAAGGCCGCCCCACAATTACACCTTCTGATAAATCTATATATTTAAAACCAGTTGATCCGTACGAAATCCATAATATAATATGCAATCTTAAAAATAAAAACAGCTTCGGACACGATGATTTACCCCCAGTATTGATAAAAAAGTGCGTCAGCAACTTTGTTATGCCTCTTGTATTTCTAATTAATCAATCGTTTGCAGAGGGTAATTTTCCAAATAAATTAAAAATTTCCATAATCAAACCCATACTTAAAAAAGGTGACCCGACTGACTGCACAAATTATAGGCCTATAGCTCTTCTGCCAACCTTCTCAAAAATATTCGAAACAGCTATGTCAAACCGTTTATACACCTACTGTGAAAAATATCAAATATTTGATGACAGTCAAAATGGTTTCCGCAAACAACGATCAACTACATACGCGGTTTACAAATATATACAACATGTACTTAATATTATAAATGATCACAAATATGCAATCGGAATCCTTTTGGACATGAGCAAATCTTACGATCGAGTCTCTTTTAAAATCCTCTTAAATAAACTGGAAGGTATCGGTGTCAGAGGAATCGTTCATAGATGGTTTGAGTCATATTTACACAATCGAAGCCAGTACGTAGAAATTGAGCACCATAACTCCAAAAGTGGCAGAATCACCCAGGTAAGATCTCAAGTAATAGATGTACAGAATTCCATCCCGCAGGGAAGTGTGTTGGGGTGTTTGCTGTTCTTGATCTACATAAACGATCTACCAAAAGTAATTAATGCTACAAGTACCCTTTTTGCAGATGATATATCAATTGTACTTCCTTGTAAAAATGAACAAAATCTAAACAATACATTAAATTCTTTATTTGTAAATATAACTAGTTGGCTGAATGATCATAATTTGCAAGTAAATTTCACAAAAACAAAACTCATGCAGTTTAAACCCTACCAAAAACGAAACCTATCTATTGATTTTGCGTTTAATAATGTGAGAATTGAAAGTACAAACAACTTTAAACTTTTGGGATTAAATATTGACAGTCACCTTGACTGGAAATCACACGCCCAGATCATAAGCAGTAAACTGTCAAAATTCACTTACGCTCTTTACCATCTGAAAACATCAACGGACAAAAAAACTGCCCTCACTGCATATTATGCATATGCGCACTCATGGATGCGCTATGGCATTGCACTATGGGGTAATAGTACTGACGCAGATGACATATTTAAACTCCAAAAGAAATGCATTCGCATTCTGGCCAATGTTGGGGGAACACATAGCTGTAGACCACACTTTAAAACATTCCGTGTCCTCACTTTGACTTCTCTGTATATATTGGATTTGAGCCTATTTGTTTACAAAAATATTAATCTTTTTAGTCGTAACCGTGACCACTATTCGCAAGACCGTCAATTAAGAAATAGAAATAACTTATCGCTTCCTACCTCCAACTTATCAATATTTCATAAAGGCCCAGGCCCCTATTGCATGTCAATAAAAATTTACAATAAAATACCAAGTAATATAAAAAAAGAAACAAAATATACTACTTTCAAAAGAAAACTTTATGAGTATCTCATCGATAAATGCTATTATAGTTTGCAAGAGTTTTTTGAGAATAAACAACAAAACTAAAAAAAAAAAAAAAAAAAAATAATAGCTATAAAAAGGAAAATGATGGTAATGATAATGAATAAATAAAATTGTGCAAATAAGGAGTTGGTAGATATGTTATGTAGAATATGAACGAAAATCAATTGAAGCAATTGTGGTAATACTTTAATAATATGTTATGTAAAATCTTTGAATGATGTAGTGTTTTTTTTTTATTAATTAATATAAATTGCAGCGCCCTTACAGGGTCATGTTGATACTGCTTAACCAAAATAATTTATGTATTATGTATAACACCTTGGTAACCACACATGAAGCAATAAAGACTTTGAATTTGAATTTGAATTTGAATTTGAATCCGAGGCATCTCGTGCATACATTTGCAATCACTCGAAAAACTAGACAGCGAGTTAAATTAACAATCAACAATTTGAAACATGGTCACGTTACAAAGTCCCATCAAAGTCATGGTATCCAATTTACAATGACACACCGAAATGTTTGAACGGATGTAGGATTCCCATTGAGATTCCCATTCAACCCGTATATTCCCATTCCACACGTATATTCCCATTACACCCATACATTCATTCGTAATGTCATCTCGGTTTCGATGGCCCATTTCCCATTGACTGGATAGTCCCATAAGGGTTTGAGCGATTTAATCCCATACAGTACCCATGTTCATAAATCATTTGGCGTTACCGTGTGGTTTTAATTGTGACTTTTGGATACAAGAGTTTTTGGTTCAATTTATTATCTAGCTCGTTGGTTTCCAAAAAGGGTTAAGGAAAAAGGTTATTGAGATTATAACATAACATCACGCCTTTTATCCCCGAAGGGGTAGGCAGAGGCGTACATTACGGCACTTAATGCCACTATACAATGTCCCATTTTTTCACTATTTATGTTATGAGTCCCATGTAATAGGGGGTGAGCCTATTGCCATATACCGGGCACATGTCCAGACTCCGTGCTACTACTGAGATTTTTAAAAACCCCGTAATGTAATACTTTGCCCGACCCGGGAATCGAACCCGAGACCCCTTGCCCGGCAGTCGCACTTGCGACCACTCGGCCAACGAGGCAGTCTTTTGTCAGTCAGTCTGAGATAATACTTACTTTTTTTAAGGAACAAGTCCGGCACACCCTCCCAAAACCGCTGCAACTCCTGTAAGCCAGGATCTACAGTACCTCTAGATACAACCATGAAAACACCGGAACACTGAAGTCCGGCGCGTCCCAGGGACATGAATAACAGTTTTGGTTCCCGCAACGAAGTGAATCAGAAGATATTATTAGAGGATTATACTTACTATAGGTTATACTTACTTTTTCGACTACATAGTTGGCGCGGTGACTGGGTAACCAGCTGCCATGCAACGTGTAGCGGGTTCGATACCGCACGAAGCAACTGTTTGTGTGATCCACAAATAATTATTTCGGGTCTGGGTGGCATGTGCATGTGAACTTGTATGTTTGTAAACGCACCCACGACACAGGAGAAATTCCTAATGTGGGGCAACGTTTTTAATTACCTAAATTATACGTATGTAGAGAAGATCCATAGCTCAACGGTAGTGTTCTGCAACGGGCTGTCGATGTGTTACACAATACTAAGACACTTTTTGTGCACTTTATTTATTAGATTCATTAGAATAAGTTTCCCTTTCCTTCTTTCCATCCTTTCTTTCTCCTTTCCATCATCGTACCACAAGACAATAGTCGAAGCTTCACCGATTCATGGTAGATGTCTCACCCACACGCAAGAAGCGCTTTGCAACAAGCTTCCTTGTGCGTACTGCTAAAGAGTGGAATTCTTTGCCAGAGTCTGTATTTCCTGAAGGGGCTGAAAGTTTTCAAGGCCCGAGTGAATAGGTTGCTTATGGACTGATGTGCTTCATCGTAGACCGCATCATCGCTTACCACCAGGCGAGATAGTAGAAAAAAAATGTTATGAGGTTATTCAAATACTTTGTGCATTATAATAACTATCGTGAGATACTAAATTAAGTAAAAACGCGGGTTACTCACGTGAATATACTGAGAAAAGCTCTACTAGTCGACGGCGACGTCGCGAGTCGCCGCGACCGCGCACGCTGCTCATGAGGAAGAACCCCTCTGTGGTTCGAAACTAGTAGAGCTTTTCTCAGTATATTCACGTGAGTAACCCGCGTTTTTACTTAACTTTGTGCATTATTTTGTCCCGGAGATCGAACTCCAGAAAACTTATTTTGCAGTTGCATTTACGAAGTCTCAGCTAATTAAGCACTCATTTTAATATCAACTTTGCTTAGCAATAACTAAAGTTTAGTTTCGTATAGCAAGTTGGATTGTCCATACAATGAATAATGAACATTCTCGAGTAATTCGAGCCTGAAACTATTTCAGGGTTGTCTCGTAAATTCAGTTCAGTGACAGTCACTATATGCGTTTAGACAAGACATCTGAATAGACTTGGTCTCGATTCTAGATAGATTAAATGAAATGAAAGATGTTAATTTTCCTCTAACTGAAGAATATTTACTCATTATCGCTTACCCCACCAGGCGCGAAGGTGGGGTAAGCGATGCCCAAACGTAAACCTATCAAGTATAAAAAAAACTTTTGACGCTATAGTTCTTCATATAGAAAAAGTAACTAAAACTATTTCTATGTTTTAATAAACAAAAAAATTGAATCCAGTTAACTTAGGATTTGTGTCCAAGAATGACATGAATGATAATACCTTGATTTGTATGAGTATCATTGTTTGTGTTAAAATACTTGAGAACATAAGTTAGTTTAAATATGCAAATTAATGTATGTAATAGAGTATTACAATCGGATAGTTGCCATGGTATGAAAATTAAAAATCTAATTAGTCCGTCATTTAGATAATGAAAAAATAGTAGACACGTATTTTTTATTTTCACGTATTAAGTTACAATACTAAGATAAAATGGAGTTAAGTTTAGAGTGGATCGTTACGTCATAACGTGCTACAAAATGTGACACGCTGTAACGTCACACGATATTTCAAATTAATATATTATCGTTGAAAGTATTTAATTTTGTGAGAAAAGAAAAAAATACGTGTCTAATGTTTTAAATTGATTCACCAGACGGACATTAAAATAAAAAGGATACCTCCCTATTAGAGACATGTCAATTGGTAGGATATATTTATCTAAGTAAATCAAACTCAGTAAATTATTTACATACATTTAATCATTGCCTATTATATCTATAATATAGCGACTTAACAAGATGAAATTTAATAGATTTTCAGAGCACAAAACATTTGACTAGATCAATATATCATATTATAATATATATTAAACATTTAAATTTGAAACATAAGTATAAAATACAACAATAAAAATTACTATCAATTTGTTAGGACCACCACAGACAAACATAGCGATTATCACGTTGTCAAAAGTATATTAAAATTTGATTTAATCAAGAATTTGTAATGACCCTTACTTTCGAACAAGTAACAACAATATTAGTAATTTATAATTTAAAAACAAAGCCATACAATAGTTTAAAAGACCACGTAATAGATGTTATAATTTCGTAATTCGGACCAAACCGGCAGAGAAAATTTCAAGAATCATTAGATATGGCTACGAGATATGCTATATAATAATGCGTAAAGTGAATAATTTCATTCGTTGTTATTAGTATAGTATCTATAAGATTGAAAAGTTCTAGTTAACTTGAGCCTTAGTAATAAAACGTGAATTTGAAATTGTTCCACTATTAGAGAGAAATATGAAGGTTATTATTATTATTTCTATATTGAACACATACACACGTAAAATGAAAATATTATGCCTCTGATCCACGAACGAGTGTACTTGACAAAACTTCAAACTAAGCTATCCTTCAGCGTTTCACTGCGACCGCAAGCTATACAATGACTAGCTTCGTTATCCATTGAACTTTCCTTAACAAGCAGTCGATACGGCCTCAGTAGCGACTCGTAAATGGATCAAAGGCTGTTCGATATTGACACTTAAAAGGGGTCACGTACGGGCTTCCGAAGCTGGGGATAGCCTAGCCTCCGCTGCGATTACTAAAGCGCCCGTGTGAAAGACCCGTAGAAGCCGAACCTTGTCGTGATTACATCTATTTTAATCCATGGAATGTTAGACGGTTTGTCTGTGAAATATCTTCATTTCTCCTCTTGTCTCGTGGTGCACGTGGCGTGCTGTGAACTTGGTGCTTAGAAGCTAGTCCTGCCAAATATGAAGTTGCCGGGAGCGTTAGGATCCTCGGTGGAGAAGTACTCCTTCCATAACTCCTGGAACTCTTCCCACGAGACGCTGCTCTTGCCCTGTTAAACAAATAAGACGATTCATAAACGTTAATAATTAACGTTAACAATCAAATCACGTCTGTCCAAAATTGTTTTGGTTCCTGTTTAAACAACGTCAAAAATAACGTTTGAAAATTTCCAAAAATAATTTCCTTAACGTGAACTGTTTATGAAACCCGTGACCACGGTCAATGACAGTATACCCAAACAACCCTACGTCAAAATTAAAAAAGAAATCATTTGATCTGCTTATAAATTCTCAGTCAGACGTAAACAAGTCAGTTCTATAAATCATCAGTAAACAGTTGAATGTTAAATTCTGTTGACAATCAAAAAACTGAATGCTGACGCCAGAATTCAAATTAAACAGAATGTATTTATGCCCCAATTTATTCGGTCAGCACAAAAAATGGCGGCTCATAAAATCAGCTCAATGCAAAAATGAATAACAAATATACAAATCGAATAAATCAATTGTAAAACGTGTGAATATTCAACTATTATAAAGTTTAATCGTCCATTTTAATGGAAATCGGAAAAACGATTTGAATTGAGCATTGTGCTCGATTTAATAAATCGATGTACATTATTCATACTTCGACGGAATGGGGGAAATCTGATGTATAAAGCAAGTACAGAATTGTTTTTGGTGGATTTTGTTTTGTTTCAATAATAACGCAACAAATTTAACAAATTTATAGAACAAAAACGAGAATGAGTCTGATAAAATAAATAAGAAATTAAGTAAAATACATAAAAAATCAAGCTGTCAAATGGTTACAATAGAACTCACTTAAAGCATAACTGTATAAAATGATAAAAGTTATATTGAAATTTGATGACACAGCTATCATTTTCAAGGAAATAACAACCACGGAAGCATACATCATGAAGATAAAAAAGCAACCAGAAGATAAACTCGACTCCTATTTGTCCTGCTGAGATAAAATTTCCTAATTAAACCGGGCTTAAGGAAGGAACAGACAATGGCTATATAGATTTATGATGGCCGCAGTCTCAAGATCTTTATTGCAGCACTCTTGAAGCCCTGAGCAAACTAATTAGAAATTGCCACGGACCGCATTTTTCCAACCACTTTACGTAAGAAAATTTTAGGCAAATTACTTCTGAGTTTGTGAATAGTTATGCTAAGATTTGCATTAATTGGGAATGGAAGCTTCATAAGGAATAAGAAACGAGATAGAAGAAAATAGTAGAAAAGTTTGTTTTTATAAGTATTTTACTAATGGGTCGACATTTGGCCACTATCTCGTCTGGTGGTATGCGATAATGTAGCCTACAATGAAATATGCACCCTGCAACATAATTATTATTCCGTCGGGTCTGAAAATCACTCAGATTATACCTATCAGGAGAATTTCATTCCTAGCAAATTGGCACACATTTTATTAGGTAAAAATCATTTTGGTTACCACTATAATAATTAAGTTATGCCACTTTGTTATCTGCAATGTTGAATGGAAGAAAAGGGCACTTGAATACATCCTTATTCGGTCAATTCAATTATAACTCTATAATATAATATGAACTTGCCGCCTATGAAAAGGATTGGCCACAGAAAGCTTTAAAAAGAGACGAGTGAAAGGAGGGTAGGAGGCCTTTGCCCTGCAGTGGGACGACCATGGATAAAATAAAAACCTTTATTTATTAAATTAATAACTAAATATAAAAAGGTTCTAGATACAGGATACTATACACAAGAACTAAAGTAGTTCCCACTTAAATATTTTATGAAGTATAGACTGACAGAGACAAAACGAGTCGTTGTTAAGTTCATTTTTTTTTCTAATTACGTCGTGAAATCGTAAACCTGTTTTAGAAAATCAAAATGATTATAGTCATTAACAATCCAATTGGGATATCTGTTACCAATTATTGTGATTGGAATTCGTTCCAAAAATGTCCTTATGAAATGTAGCTTGAACAACATTTTTTTTTCAATTATTTTAAGTATCCGTTTGGTATTGTATTATGGTATTAATAATTTTTAACCTACTTTCACAAAATACAAATTATTTCAAGTGGGCGATTAAATGTATATCCCATCTTTTCAATAATAACAGAAACAAGTATCGGGCAAAAATTGAGAAATGATGCAAAAATATCATAACTAGACTACTTATCCCCTAAAATCCACCAACGACCAAATTTAGAAGGAACCTACTAGAAAAGGACAAAGAGATATGAGAAGAACTTACCTTAGCCATCTTAGTAAAGGCCACCTTACACTCCTGAGGGTCGATCCCATAGGAGGAGCAGACGGTGGTGAACTCATCGCTATCGATGGTGCCATCAGCGCTAGCGTCTTCCAGTTGGAACATAAACTGGGCATACAGCTGCTGCCACTTGAGAGCAGCTGATGGGTTCTGGGCATAGTCATTCCACATCGAGGTCCATTCCTCCACGGAGACCTGGTGAAGAAAGAGAGGTTATAGAACAATTGCATTTTGATTATTTTAATTCTAATGATTTTATAGAATACTGTTCAAAATTCGAGAAAAAAAGCTAGAAATTAGATTATTTTTTTTAGTTTGTCACTTTTTTGACCGTATTTTTGGAAAGATGTTTCTTATTCCTCGGTAAACTATATGTAAAGTCGAAGTTAAAGTCAAAATCAGTTAGACCAGAAAGGCACTTTTGAACGTCAATAAAAAAAAATTACGTGAAACTATTTGCTTATTCTAGTAGATTCCTATGGAGAAGAATGAGCAAGACATTCCATAGGTTATTTTTTTCTGATCTTGTCATTATGATGTCACCTGTGACATGTATAAATATGCTTTATAATTAAATAGTCTCATACCGAACCTAAACGAGTGCAGATCATTTCACTCCTTATACAAATACCCTACCTACACGTACGGCGCTAAACTCTACAAGTTATTATTATTTAGATCTACCGGTTATTTCAGTAAAACATTTATTTATTATTTATGTACACACATACAACAACACAAACGACAATACATAAATAAAAACAGAGTATTTAGGCCCCACATATTCCAACTGGAATTTCTTCCTATGGGCCAGTTACAGGAAAAGAAATAACAATACCGAGACACATAGTGTGTAACAAAATAAATAATATATAAACATCTTTGTATAAGCGTAATAATATATCTATTAAGTAAGAAAGCTTAACAACCTAATTGATAGTTACAACATACTTCCAACAATCCTACATCGAGCACGAACAAAGAACAATAATTTTGGTCCATTCCCTACAAAAAATAAAGCTATTCCGCCTAACAATACGTACTTCGGTACACCCAATTTCAGGGAGGTTGCCTAATTAATTCAATTTGTTGGCAACGGTAGTGCTAATCTATTTACAAGTCAGTTTCGACCCCAATCTACTTGAGAAATGGCCAGGACAGAAGAAAATGGCTACAGATTTATTCATTGCTGGTGATTAGGTTCAGGAGATACGAACAGATCTAGAGATATTATGTGAATCGACACCAATCTTCTTTGTTTCTTACCCACCATATTTTGAAACAGATATTGCTGTGAAGAAAGACGAATAATTGTCTTGTGTTAAAATAATTAACCGACTCAAAAAAAGATGTTGACATTTTGGTCTGTAGACCACTATCTCGGCTGGTGGTAAGTGATGATGCGGTCTACGATGGAGCACGTTGTCCCATAAACAACCTATTCACTCGGGTTTTGAAGACACCCAGGTTCCCTTCAAGAAATACAGACTCTGGAAAAGAATTCAACTCCTTAGCAGTACGCACAAGGAAGCTTGATGCGAAGCGCTTCGTGCGTGTGGGTGGGACATCATCATCATACCATGAATCGGTGATGCTTCGCCGATTGTCTTGTGGTACGATGATGGAAAAGAATAGGGGAATAAAGTTGAGCAATTTTTCTAGTATTAGTAGTTGCGATTGGCTGAACCGATTTTGATGCGGTTTTCAGAAAAATGTGCGTTACACTTAGGAAAAGGTTTTAGTATATTAATTAACCGACTTCCAAAAAGGGGGTGGGATAAGTCGTATTTTTAAACGTAGTTTATAAAAGAATTATTTTATTACAATATCATACAATATGGTAAAAATTAATCGTTAGGGTATCGTTAGCGATTGAACTTAGAAACTACAAGATACATCCAGCATAACTATCAGGGCTCGTCCACAAAACTGTTGCAAGAACTTGCAAAATGATTCGCATCGCGCATCAAAATCTTGTCTTCCCAAAATCTTTATTTTATTTTTTTCCTATATCTCCTAAGCAATAACAGAAGTGCACACTTTTTTTTACGATCCATGTCACGACCTAGTTTTCAATTTAAAATATGTTTAGTACGATTGCCGGTCGTCAAAGGAATGGTCATCTTAGGAGACGCCTTGTAGCACGAAATCGCATCGCTGCAATTTGCATCGTAATTTTCTGCGTTATGAATTCGCATTGCAGTTTTGTGTAGAAGCCCTCATAGTCTGGCGAAGCAGTCAGAAACCCAACCTGTCAATTTTCACAACCCTTGCCAGAACTTAAGAGGTAATAATAAATAAATAAACCCCTACAAATGACAACAATTGATGGTATTAGTTTACCCACATGAACTTTCAAAATGCTCTCGAGACTTGAAAGGGTTAAGTCGTGTATGAAGTTTCTTCAGCTTTTACGGCAAAAAGTTACCAAACTATGAAGTACTTGATTGCCAAGTTCTTTTAGGAAAAGTGGTTTTTGACATTCTGTGATTATTAAGTGTGTGTGATATTTTACTAAATATAATGTCAAACCCACATTATCTAGTTCAGAAACACGACTTGTACAAAATCGCAAAGGACTCAAAAATTGAAATAATTATTGATAAAATGCACCCATGAAGATTTAAGTGTTTCTATTCGAATTCACACTTCTGGAATCTTTTTAAAAATACGTTAAAAACGTAAATTTTTCCTCAATTGGAGAAGTTCACTAACATAAGCAGACACCTACTCAAGAATTTATATTATGTAAGCGCATAAAGACTCGTAAATCGTTCTTCAATTAACATTTTCCTCGACCATTATCTAAACGTAATAACAGTAAAAAACTACGCGTAAACAGAAGAGCAATTCGAATCTAAAAAAAAGTACAATAAAAATATTTCACACTAATTCGACGACTGTGTTAGTCATCTAACTAAAATCTTAGCAGTTTGAGGAAAATCGCGTGTAAAATTCATATTAAACTAAAATGTTTATGCGTCTACTTCAAATACTAACTCATCGTAAGAATCCCGTAAATCATGTTCCTCTTCGCCCGAACTAAAATTACAAGATTTATGATCGTTCAAAGCTCTCGATATTAAACGGTTACGGGGTTAGACCTCCAAAATTATGGGTTCAACCATTTACATTCTCTGTAATCTCGTGAGACTAACATTTTATCACGCTTGTATGTGTGTGCTCTTGAGAAGATAGATAAAATTTGACAACCCGTTGGCGCAGTAGCTGGGCAACTGTGTATGTGAACTTGTAGGTTTGTAAACACACCTATGTCTCTTTTTTGCAAGTTGTAAACATTGTAATAATAAAACTTAATATTAACAACAGGGTGGAAACCAATCTCAATGTCAATGCAATATCAATCCAATAAAATTTCAATAATTATTCAATGTCAAAACTACACTACCCCTATCGTAGCTGTAAAAATAACATGCAGAATATGAAATATACATATAGAGTGGATATTTAATACCATTCAGTTCAATAAATATCCACTCAATACGGAAGCAATGGGCGCTAGTGTTGCAACTCTAGAGTACGAAATTTCACAATACCAATATCAATCGATTGGAATTGGGTTCAATAGTAAGCCCACAGATTAAAATAAGTACTCCTTTGTAATTAATCAACAATGCCTTGTTCCCAAGAATCTGTAACCAACAAATCTCCACTTCAATCCTATATCAGGCCCTTATTTAACCCTTTTACAATTTTCTCCATAACATCATTAACCAATCAATTTTTATAATGGTTTTAACAGAGGTGTAAAAACCCTGAAATAAAAAATGCAACAATTGCGATCCATAGAGCAATAAATGTCAAAAGACCTTCATCCCTAGAATGATGTATCCGATAATTTACATACATATTCCATACTCCATAATCGCATCAAAACAGAGCCTAGAAAATATACAAAAATGACGCGTGACTCCGTTCATTTAAAAAGCCGATGGCCCAGTGTGAACAAAAAAGTGAATTACGTAGCAGAAATTCTAATAAAACCTGGACGCGGTAACAATGCTTGAAAAAATGGTTCTGTAATTAAGCGGGGTCGCTTTTGGCTTAAGCCCAGCGATGTGGGGTTAATAATGGTGATTGGAATAATTTTTGTGTCATTTATTTTTGTTCTTTTTTTATTTTTGAAGTTATGATTGTTTAGAATACGGTTTTAACTTAAGATTTTTGAATGAAGCAGCAAATATTTCTGCGGTTTTTTTTTATGTTTAGAAAATATCTAAGTAAAAATATGGAGTCCGCAATTGTGCCGTGTATAAGACAATAGGCAATTCCTATTACATGGGACTTAGTTAGTTTCCTCGAGTAACTTTATCTACTGCAGACTATAAACGCAATTATTCTAAAACAATATCAAATATAAATCAACGACGAAAAAATCTCATCACAAAAAGGTTTGACTAAAAAATCAAAATTGGAGAGCTCTCGCAATTGAACGTTCAGACTATAACAACAGAAAATTTAATAAAGGCAGCTGCTTCGTTATTTTAAGATATTACCCTACCTTCTACGATGAGCCACTTTACTTTTATGGAACACTGCTTTACACTCTAATGATAGTCAAACGTTTTCATTATTTTCCATTATCTTCCAAACTTTTGATAATTAATAAACGAGAATAGACTCACTAATACTCTAAATGCATAAATGTATAATATATACCTTTATTCCCGATGGGATAGGTAGGGGTGTACATTACGGCACTTAATGCCACTGTATAATGTAACACCTACTTTTCACTATTTATGTTATGAGTCCCATGTAATTGGCGATGAATCTATTGCCATATACCGGGCACAATTCCAGACTCCGTGATTATGATCCTATAATTGACTGATCATAATCAACATTCCATAAGTGGCCACTGCTGACTAAAGGCCTCTTTTCACACTTTTTTTGGAAAAGTTTTGAATATTAGTCACCACGCTTGCTCAATGTGGGTTGGCGACTTCAAACTTATAATTAGAAATTTATACGCCCAGGTTTTCTCACGATGTTTTCCTTAACTATTTGTCAGTGGTGTCCAAATAATATTAGAAAATACATATAGTCGGAAAACTCGGAAAAAGTCACATTAGTACTTGCTGTAACTGTTGGTAAGTTGGTAGGTCTAAAAACTCCGGGCAACTACGACCTACGACTGATCATTGCACCATTGATATATATTTCAGTAGTGTAACTATATAATGGACATGTTTATCTGTAATAAATGCTTCGACTTTGAACTAACCATGACCTTGATATGGTTTATTTTACTGTTTACAAATTACTAACACTTCCCAGTTGCATCTATTTCAAAGTGTGATAGAAAACAGATTGTAATTTCAATTCAAAATAGGACTGTCAGAAGCTTCATTATTCTTATAGAGACTGGTTTGTTTTTATGGATGACTAGCTTCAGCCAGCGGTTTGTGTCTGCGTGTCTTTTTTATTGCATAAGCCGATAAACGAGCTGACGAATCACCTGATGGCAAGCAATCGGCGTCGCCCATGGACATATGGAACACCAAAGGCAAGGCAGTAGTTACAAGTGCGTTACCGGCCTTTTGGGGATTAGGAATTTGAAGATTGTTAGGGATTCAGGGATTGGGAAGATTGCGGGAAGGGAATTGGGCTTCCGATAACCTCACTCACACGACGAAACATATGTATACGTCGGTTTTCTGTGAGGCCGTGGTATCACTCCGGTCGAGCCGATATTCGTGCCGAAGCATGGTTAAACCACACTTGCATTTATTACGTGTTATTTCAGATCCCTTCAGCCGTTTGGACATGAAGGAGTGACAATCAAAAACACATAATTTATTTATATAGACATAAAACTTTCAAATATTTAACACCAACGTACATAGTCTAAAGCAACTAGATGAAAAAGGTTATATAATAGTCAATCTTTGTCTTATACTCAGTTTTTATGTAATGTATCAGTCGCAATTTTCCTGTTAAAAAAAGTAACAATTTAAGTCAGAATTCCCTGAATAGCTATGTATACATAACCCATGTCAGGAATGAGGAAAAATATTCAAGACCTTGGAGTTTATAACGTAAACATATCATTAGATCTGTTTTTCTTCGAAAGATTAGGTAGCAATGTATATTTAGCTTTATTATTATAGTTTCTTGTTAAAAGAGCTGTTATAGGCTCTCAATTAGGTGGTGTTACAATAACTTCTTTGTTAATGAGAAACTAAACGTGGAATAAAATAAATAATAGGTCGATATGTCTATTTATTGAGGAAAAATTATACCTTTACGAGGATAGAGGTTGACTTGAAACAGTTTTAAGAGTTTTGTCTCTTTGTATATTTGTACTTCACAAATCGCAATTAAAGGCATCAGAATATATTATACGCTAGAATAGCAGATAGGCCATTTTTCTTCCAGGGAAAATATAAAAACGACTTCAATAAAAATGAATTTCAGCGGGAAGAAAGTTGCGAGATATTAAATATCATTATGGCAAAGAATGATAATATGTTTGGTAAACCCGATTACAGAATTGAGTTACAATACGAATACTTTTAATACTACAATTGGAAACTACCAAATAAGAGTAAAAGACAATCTCAAATCAAGGCCAAAAACAATAAATGGGATTAAAGGAAGCCATTAACGAAAGAAGTGATAAAAAAGTCAATTTACGAAGAAAAACAATTTTAACTTGAAATTCCGTTGATTTTGTTTGGCATCCTGCTTTCCATTTTGATGAGCTCAAAATGGATAAAATGGGAACTAGCAAAGAAAATAATCGAGCTTGAAGTATTCTCCTGAGTATTTGCAAAGCCTTGAGAAAATTTCTACGACAATGTGTGTCTGAAGTGTTTTTGCTCCTTTTTTTCCGCCTTTTAGAATCAGATATGTAGATTGGACTTGTCACTGAGTTTGTTAAAGTCAAGATTATTAAGTAAATTATTTTGGTGTTGTAATAGAAAATTTGAATTAATCTAATGTCCACAATCATCTGAAGTTGTTTTAGGTGTTTTTGCATTACTCGAATCGATGATTTTTGACTCCAATTTAAATGTTAGTTAACTTTTCATAGAGCACACCCAATTTTACTTTGCCCTAATAATCCTTTTAGTTTATTAAAACATGTCTCTAAAGAGATGTAATTCAAACAAAGCAATTCGAGCTTACCTGTCCATCTTTGTTGGAGTCAGCCCTCTTCCGAAGTCCATCCCAGATCTTGATCATGATCTCATGTGTCTCCGTGTTCTTGGGGTCTCCGGGCTTCCATCCTCGGAGGTGGCAGATTTTCTAAAGGGAAATACAAATGCATTAATAATAGGGAAACTAAGTTAAGTTCTAAAGGAAGGTTAGAATAAAGGAGAATTATTGTTGTACACCGTTATTTGGTCTGCCACCACCATTAGTTGGTGCAGTGGCTGGGTAACCGGGTGCCGCGCAACATATCGCGGCGCGGGTTCGATTCCGGCACGGAGCAACTCTTTGTGTGTTCCACAAATTGTTGTTCCGGGTCTGGGTGTCAATTGTATATGACATTGTATGTAACTCATCCAACACAATAGAAAATCTTTCTGTGAGCATACATAAGCACTTTGTTCGAGTATTCAAGTACTGTGTAATCTCAAGAATCATACATTTTAGAGATATAGTCACTATTATGATTGTTGAACTACTGTAAATTTGCACCTAAAACAGTATCTAATACGTTAAAAAACAAATAACCATCAACTCTGCAACACTATAAACTAGCATTAGTGTCGTGCTTCGTTCCCGAACCAACACATTTCACCGATTACCGATTGATTAATGTTTCTATCGAGATGAATGATGTGAAAATTATTGCTATTAACGTCTCCATACTTCAGCTACCAATCAATATGTCCGTCGAAATCGGAGGCAAACTAATCGATTACGTCCAAATTTATATCGATTCCAACCAATCATTGGTGGCGCACTTAACGTTTTTTAAAATGGTGAACCGGGACGTTTTAAAAATAGAATTATTTGACCTAGTTATTATCTGTTTGGGCCATAAACTAGAATCGAATGCAATATTAAAATAACAAACGCCAATGTTATGATACAATTTACTAAAGGTTCGTTGGCAAAGATATATTCTAAAGTGCTGATGAATTTATTTGTGTTGAAACTATTGAATTTGGACCAACTGACATGAGTGTGAGTGACTTGATTTTGTCGTACCGGGCAGTTTTAAGCTTTTTTTTTAGTTATAGAAATGGTTGTAATAGCTAAATTTCAAAAACGGAGAAATTATGCTGTAAAGGTCTTCTTAATACTTTTCAAAAAATAATTTGCACGATTTTTAACTTTATACAAAAGTCGAATCACTACTTCAGCGCCATTTTGGGAACTTTTGACACTATTTTAATTACTTTTAATGTCAGGTAACTAGTAGACCATGGCATGCTTAACTCAAGTGCTTAAAGTCTCTTTTTAAAAGTTATTAACTAAGAAACAAGCTAAACAAATTGGGCTAGATGCGCAAGCAGCAACATCGCTGGGGCGACCGCGGACGCTGCTCATGAGGAAGAACCCCTCTGTGGCTCGAAACTAGTAGAGATTTTCTCTGTATATTCACGTGAGTAACCCGCGATTCTCAGTTAATTTAGTAAATCTCACGATAGTTATTATAAAAAAAAAACAAAGTTCAACCAATTTTAGATTATCCTATCAACCTACACATAAATCTAGTTTATTTAACCACACTTGGTAAACTACACACACAACCAGACACACACCTGTGGACCTGAGCAATATCTTTGGTAGAATCAAAACCTATAATGAATGTGTATTGGCAATCGGGAAACAATTGGAATCGATTATTCGGTATCTCGGTACTCAGAAACGATTGTTTGTTATTTAGCTACAAAGAAATGGGTTCTTTTCTAAACTGTGATTATTTGCTATTTTCTTTATTTTTTTCAGATTATTACCTAACTTTCACAAGTACTAACAGTTTTTGGCTGTCACCTAAGTATTGAAATCTTTTAAGGGAAAAATAATTGCTTTTGTACCTATATTCTGTCGATAGAGACGGACAGGGTAGATAATACTTGTAAACTAATACAGTGCATCAAATATATACTTTTTATAAATATCATTGATAAGAAAGGACTCTCAAGATATAACATAATATAACATCACGCCTTTTATCGACGAAGGGATAAGCAGAGGTGCACACGGAAGTGACACCCTCTTTTCACTATTTATGTTATGAGTCCCACCTATTGCCATATACCGGGCACATTTCCAGACTCCGTGCTACTACTGAGATTTCATTTATTAAAAACCCAGTGATAACTCTCAAAATATCTATAATAGATATATGATATCTATCTATACTCTTATGAGGTCGAGAATGTAAGTACCTACTTCTCTAAATTTATCTTATTGCAAAATAGGACCTATTATCAAGGCAATTAGTAGATAGATATCAAAACTTATGACAGAATAAAAAAGAAAAAGTAAAACAAACTCACATCAATAGCCAGCTCGAAATCTTTCCTTTCTATCGTGCCGCTCTGATTGACATCTGAAAAAGAAAAAAAGTTTTAACAAGCCTTGTAAAAATCCCTCGTTTCGTAAAACTTTGAGAGATATTCTTTTATATTATATTACCGAAGAAAACGTTGAACACGTAGAGGAGCTTCTTTCGTCGGAACTCGGAGATAGACATGGTTAATCTGAAACAATTGAAAAATTAATTAATTAGAGTTGAAGTTTCTTCTTATAAGTTTGGTTGGTGTTTGGTTATAAGCTCTTTCTTTTTTTGACATGATTCCAACAAAGAGTAATTTTTAAATGGCATCTCCTAACTTCCATGTAGTTAGTTTAACCCGATTTGCTCGACATCTTTTGATCGTAGCGTGATATTTTATAGCCTATAGCCTTCCTCAATAAATGAAGTTTCCAACACAAAAATATGTTTTCAAATCGGACAAGTAGTTCTTGAGGTTAGTACGCACAAACAAACTCATCAGCTTTAATAATAAAATGTAAGATTTTGACGATATGATTTTTTTGGGATATGGCGGTAAGCAAGCACTTGTATCACCTAATGGTAAGTGGTACCCGACACCTGATACACAAAGGAGTTACAAGTGCATTACCGGCATTGTTGGGACTAATCCCATTGTTGGGACTATCCATATTGAGCCTTCAATTTCCATGCATCGGGACGAATGGGCCGCCTCGACCGGAGTAATACCACGGCCTCATAGAAAACCGACGTAAAACAACGCTTGCGTTGTGTTTCGTCGTGTGAGTGAGGTTACCGGAGGCCCAATTACCCCCTTCCCCAATCTCTGAATTCCCAACAATCCTCAAATTTATAATCCTCTAAAGACAGGTAACGCATTTGTAACGCCTCTGGTGTTTTAGGTGTCCATGGGTGACGTGGATTGCTTACCATCAGGTGATCTGTGAGCTCGTTTACTGGCTTATACTATAAAAAAGGGGTTTCAAAATAAAATGTTAGAAAATGGTTTCTCATATCTTGATTCTAGTAAAATGTGGGTGTGTATTGTTATTACACTTCTGTCTATTTCCTTTCAGATAATAATAATAGGTGCTGAAAGAAGAACAAAAAGCAAATTGTTTCATCTTTGTTTGACTATCTGTCAGTTAAAACTATTTTCTTAGGAAAGCGTTGACGTGAATTAGGAATAACCGATTGAAAATGTGAAGGAATCATGTTTTATGTCAAACTATAAGAATACATACTTTGATAACGATTCAATATTCAATTTTGTCAAAGCATTTCTTGCAGTGTAACTAAAAGACAATTGGGTACTTTCCATAATCTATATAAATAAAAATTAATTTCCGTTCGTTAGTCTCGCTAAAACTCGAGAATGGCTGAACCGATTTGGATAAGTTTCGTCTTGAAATCTTCGTGGAAGTCCAGGGAAGGTTTAAAAGGAGAGACAAAAAATTTAGGCAGTACGAAGTTTGCCGGGTCAGCTAGTGAAAATAAATTATTTCGACTTGAACAGTCGAAATAATAAAATATTAAAAAATAATTACACTTTCATTAATTGGTTTTATAACCAACTTAATTTTAGTAACTTTCCAGCAAATTTTTAAGTGTATAACTACGCTGTTTGACACTAATAAAATGTGACGTCCCAATTCACGATCTCGTCCAAAATTCCTATAAAACTGTTATTTTTGACAGTTCGAAAAATGCATTGAATTTGACTAGTTGTCAAGTATCGTATTTACAAATTATAGATTAAAAACTCAATAACATCCATAGCTTAAAAAAGTAAACAGAGAGAGTGAGAACTAGCTTAATAATGACACCAAAAAAAAAACCACAACCAACAAACTGTTATATGGAAATAATATTAGAAACAATTTAAACATTCCTATTAAATGCATTATTATGTTTTCAACTTACTCACGTAACTGTTTGACGAGAATCTCGACTAGTTTCAAGCCATGCTAGAGGCTCATATTCATGAGTATAATTTCGCGACCCGTGACGCGGCGACTGTCGCGCGCGTTGCTCACTCAAAACTAGTCGAGTTCCTCATCAAAAAGTTACTCAGTAGTCCGTAAACATAATAATTAATTTTGTATTCTAGATAGATCTAGATAGAATAGACTGCCTCGTCGGCGGTGTGGTCGCATGTGCGACTGCCGGGCAAGAGGTCTCGGGTTCGATTCCCGGATCGAGCAAAGTACTACTGAGTTTTTATAAATTCTCAGTAACAGCACGGAGTCTGGAATTGTGCCCGGTATATGGCAATAGGCTCACCCCCTATTACATGGGACTCATAACATAAATAGTGAAAAGTGGGTGTTACATTTTAATGCCGTAGTGTGCACCTCTGCCTACCCCTTCGGGGATAAAAGGCGTGATGTTATATTATGTAATTTACTATGGTATACGAAAGTTTTAACATTCCTATTAAATATTTCCAGTTCCATTGGTGAAAATAATGGTCCTTTGTGCCTCATTGAAATACTAAAGTCTTTGGAACCTGTCCAATAACGTAACAAGAACATGATCATTATTTTTCGTTTTGTTTTTACGTAGTTTTTGTTCATAGGTCCTTGTATATAAAGTTTTTTAAGGTAATTTTTTTTTATTATAAAAAAAATACTTCTTAGATAATACTTTTTTTAATAAAGGTAGGTAATTTGATATCAAAATAAAATTTTAACTAAGATAAACGTGCCAATTCGATGAAAATGTGCTCAAAGTTTTTTAAAAATTACCTTAATTTTTTTTTTAATAAACTGTTAGCTAATAAATAAGACATCAAAAAAATTCCTCATCACTGTCATGATGTAGGGTGCCCAAAAGACTGGCAGCATTGCCATGTTGAATGGCAATGCTTAACCTTCGCCAGGCCTTCGATCACCTGAAGTGACAACCAACCTCCTTACAATAAGTATATTTGTAAAAAAGATGTGGGCCCTACGGCCCTAAAGTTTCAACCCCAAACGCTTCGACAGCATAACTGCCAATCAGGTTATTATACTTTCGCCGTTTGAGGTTCTCGGCAGCAGCAGCGGCAGCACCTGCTCGACACGCATTTCTTTTGATGTAATTATAATATGAGTAAGTACTTATGAGATAGTTTTGTCAAGTAAAACCGTTTTTAGTTACAAAAAACTAAATATAGTTTCAGTCTAGACTTTAGAGTCTCCACAGTTTTATTTTTTTTAGATATTTAAAAAAAATGTAATGTAAATATTTTCTGTTCAGTATTTTTTTATCGTTACTTATTGTACAATCTTGTTAATTGATTCTAAAGGGTATGTTGGTTTAGGATAGAACTATTAAAATATTGGTGAATTCTTCGCTATTGTTTTTATGTATCGAGGTTGTTATAAAAAGTATAACATAAAGATTTTTTGGTTAGTAGACAAATGGTTGTCATAGTGGCCCGGAGGTTAAGGTGCTTGCTTCCCATGCATGAGACTGCGGGTGCGAAACCTACCAACAGCAAGTACCAATGTGACATTTTTTGTGGGATAAAGTAATTTTCCGAATTATATGTACTTCCTAACAGTATTTAGAAACCATTGACAGACGGTGAAGGAAAATATCGTTAAGAAACCTGGACTTATAATTTCTAATTATAAGTTGGAAATCGCCAATACACCATAAGCAAACGTGGTGATTATCTAATGCTCTAACTTTCTCCTTATGAGAGGAGACCTGTGGTCAGCAGAGGTTGGTGATGATGAGACAAATGGTTAATTAATGTTTAATATTAGGGTGAACCGAAAAGTTTACAAATGGGTTTCTTATAATATTTTTCAGATATAAAACTTTGTCCAGTCTCCTAATTTTTTTCTACAAAAATAAAAATCTTATACTTATATAACATCACGCAGTTTATTCCCGAAGGGGTTTTTTTAAGGGGAGAAAATCATCGAATGACTGCTCCTGCCTGGGTGAGGCGGGCGGGAGTGTCATACTCTTACTGACTAAAAACCACCCCGTTCCTTCTCTTGCACGTCGAGCCGGAGCCCCGGTTACCCGTTAGGTTCTCCGCGACATCCCCGAAGGGGTAGGCAGAGGTGCACATTACGGCACTTAATGCCATAGCACCCACTTTCCACTATTTATGTTATAAGTCTAATGTACCTAATAGGGGGTGAGCCTATTGCCATATACCGGGCACAATTCCAGACATTCTCCGTGCTACTACTGAGAATTTTTATATCAATTTCTCCTTCGAGTAATCTCGAGAACATATTTACTATAAGGTATATCATTTCGATACGACAGTTCCTACGTCACTATCAAAACTCAAACTCCACTTGACTACCTGGCATATAACGTTAATTCTAAACCGGAATTAACTAGAAGTGGGTAGAATTAACTACGGACCCGCATCACAATGACGGACGGGATCCCACCGTTGGACGAAACCAATAAAACCTTAATGAATGACACTCTAGAACTCACTTTACCTCTGGTGTGTTTCGAAAATTAGGTCTCTGAATATAGGGCGTCTAAAATTGGCACTGTTTTGAGTTTTGGCTACGATATTTTAAATTTGTTTTTGTTATCAAAGTTAAAATACGTTCTTAATATAAATATCAGAGACGCATTTTGTAGTCTTCATATGGTATTTATTGTGTAAAAAAATATTTTTTTTTTAAGAGAAAGCAAGTACCTAAATAAAAACCTTCCATTTGTTTCTGTAAACATAACATATATACGCCTTTTATACCCGAAGGAGTAAGCAGGGGTGTATGTAACGGCACTTAATACCACTTTACAATGTAATAGAGATGTAATAGGGAGTGAGCCTATTGCAATATACCGGGCACAATTCCAGACTTTGTGCTGTAATACTAATACTAATATGTAATACCTTGCCAGTACCAACCTAGTAATGCCTGACCTGGGAACCGAACCTGAGACCCCTTGCCCGGCAGTTGGACTTGCGACCACTCGGACAACGAGGCAGTAGTTTCTTTAGTATTATTACCTAAATACCACGATTTTATGTTTGGCGCATTTAGCGGGGCAAACGGCAACGGCAAATGTTTTGCTCTAATAGACGTACAAATTCGATATTATAATAATTGAAGTTGTAGGACCAGAACCAGGCCCGAGCGTACAGCGCGTCGCGTTCCGCGCGCGCCTCAAGGAGCCGTCAGACCACCACAGATCGGGCCTAACAGGGCTGATGCCGATACGGAGCCGCGGAAG